GTTTATTTTCTTTCCCGACCAATTTTTGTAGTCGCCAATAATAAATAAAGATGTTTTCCCGGCTAACGATTTTAGTAGCCAATTAATTTTCCCTCTGAAATTTGAAGTCCAATTTTTAAATTTTTCAATTATAATCGCCGACTAAAATTTAGTCGCTAAAAGTAAATTAATACCGACTAAAATATTTTTAGAAGCTAAAGATTATACATTAGGGACCAAAATTTTTTTAGTCGCCTATAGGGTAAGTTATTAGCGACTAAGTCATTTTTAGTCACCTATTGAGTAACTTTTTAGCTACTAATTGTATTTTAGTCACCTATTGTGCTATTTTTAGCGACTAACTGTTTTTTAAGCGCTGATTGGGTCACTTTTTAGCTACTAATTATATTTTAGTCGCCTATTGGGCTATTTTTAGTAACTAACTATTTTTTAGTCGCTGATTGGGTCAGTTTTTAGCTACTAATTGTATTTTAGTCGCCTATTGGGCTATTTTTAGTGACTAACTGTTTTTTAGTCGCTGATTGGGTCACTTTTTAGCTACTAATTGTATTTTAGTCGCCAATAAGTAATATACGGCTACTAAAAAAATTTAGTAGCTAAAATATGAAACATTGCCGACCAATTCAAATTTTAGTTGCCAAAAGTGTAATTTCTTGTAGTGTCAATTAGAATCATGGTAAAAATTCATTTGCTCCACCCAATGTTGTGAGACTCATTATGGAGTCAACGTTAGAAGAAAAACAAATTCATTATAACAGTGATATTATATTATTATTAATACATAATATTATTAATTAATCTTAAATTATCATATGGTCATAGTGTATCTCACTATATAGATGTGTGTCAGAAGATTGAATTTGATAGAACAGTTGCATTTACATAGTAGGGTTCATCATCCTAAAATTTTATTTAGCAATATTAAAGATCTTAAAATAAATATTAAATATTCTACATAATATTCATATAAGTATGTGACTCACATCAGATAAAATCTACACCAATATTAATATTGTATAAAATATTTAATAATTTATTTAAAATATCTAACATTTTAAATTTTAATATTGAATGCAAATGAAATTTTACTCATGTGAGGTGGGCTCTCGGTCCACATGCTGGTCTTTCACCCCAATCTCATAAAGAGCCAATCACAAACCGACCCACGTGCGAGGCTGCGATCCATTAGGGCCCGCTCTGATACAATCGTTACGGCCCATTCAAAAGCAAAAATAATTTTTTTACACATAATAAAATTGTATTTATTCATTGATTAAAATTTAAACACAGTATAATAGACCTTATTTAAAATGTAATAAATTCTATATAAAATGAAAATTTCTTACTATTTTAATCAGAAACGTCGTAAAATATACACGAGCATTCTTACTATTTTAATCAAAAACGTCGTAAAATATAAACGAACAGAGCACTGAGCCTGTTAGAAACCACTATCACTGGCCCAAATTAACCCACAGTAAATAAATAAATTGATAAATTATAAATATACCTCTAAGCTTTAAAAATTACAAATGATTCATTGTTAGAATTTTTCAGCAATTGACCTAACAGAAAAAATAAATATATTATGCAAATACTCTTTAATATCAAAATAAAATTATCATATACTACACCTATGTTTTCATCTATCTATCGCCAAATCCCTCGCTCTGCACTATTATAATATTCTTCAACCCTCATAAACAGTGCACCAAATGCTTGTAAGCACTACTGATGTATTGATTGAGAGTGAGAGTGGCATAAAGTAGTGTAAAGTCAAGTGGTGTTATTAACTGAGCGAAAATGAAAAAAAAGAAAAGTGACATAGAAAAAAGTTAAATTAGGTATTTTTAGAAGAAGAAAAAATTATTGGTTATGTTGTACACTTTGTTAGTTTGATTTAGGGGTGATTTGAAATTTTCTAAATAAGTATATTTTTTAACTTTTTATAAAAAGATGTGTAAAAAAATAAAGAGGAGATATTGATTGATGTGACCCAAAAAATATAAAAAGATAAAAAGATGGACTAAAATAGGGTACCCCAAACAAGGCCTTACACTCCGCTTGGATGGAGGGATTTGGTGAGAAAATAAAAGAAATAGTGAGAATAGAAAACCCCTTCGCTTGTTTGGATGATTAAATAAATGAGAAATTGTGAGAGATGGTGGGAAAAAAAAAACTCTCGCCAAAGTTGTGTTTTGTTTCTCACCAAAAGTAATGAGATTTGGTTAGAAAAGAAATGAGTTTAATGAAACTTTTCCAAAAATTCCAAAATAACCCTATGGTGGAAGAAACTAGAAAAATAACTTACTAATATGGAAAGTTATTTTGGTAAAATAAAATAAAACACTTTCTTTTATTTTCTTTTATCTCATTTACCCTATCCAAATAAGATGGGTAAAAAATCACATTATCTTATTTTTTATTCATTCAAACATAATGGTGAAAAACTATATTCATTTCTTTTATTTTCACACCTAAGTAAAAAATTACAATTATCTCCTTTCCTTTTTCACCTCACAATGCAACCAATCCAACTGGAGTGTTAATGATGAAGTAAAATTGTAAATCTCAAGAATTTTTATTTGAGATAGGTTTCGCTCTAGTCCATAAAATGGACTAGACCATATTGTTGGGCTCATTAAGCTTATTACGAGTTTTGTTTTGATAATTCGAACCGTACAATGTGTAGAGCTCGTCGAGTATTTCTTTCTAAAAAAAAAATCACGTTAATTAGATATCGATAACCTGTTGATCGGAATATATTTTTGTTAATAATTTATTTTTAAAATCATATGTGCTATTGAAAAAAATGTGTTCGATCAAGGGATTATCAATATTCGATTAACGTAATTTTTTACAGGAATGAAATACTCGAAGAGCTCTACATATTGACGGTTTGAATCATTGAAACGGGACCTGTGATGCACTCCACGAATCCAACAGTACAATCTAGTTTGAAGAGAAGCCGATCCCTTTGTATTTTTAAGAAATTTTTAGGGATGTATTTGTAATTTTTCTTAAATAAAGCCTTCGTTTGGCATAAGCTAAAATGAGGTGTTTTGGCCAAAATAGCCACAAAAAGATAAAATAGATTTTTTAGATCAGTAAGCCAAAATGTCATATCTAAATTATAATCATTTCATTTATTTTTTTAAAAAAAATCCAAAAAACTAAAAAATACATTCCAATCAAATTTTTTTAACCTTAGACTAAAAAATTAAAAAGCTAAAAAATCATGGCCATTTCCCTAAATAAGCCAAATTATCAATTCAATTTCCAAACTAAACTTAGTTTTGAAAGAATTCCCAAAATAGGCTAAAACGTGGTTCACAACCACGCTTTCAACGTTTGTCCCGTGAAAATGGCGAAATCGTAAAAGCGTGGTTACAAACCACGCTTTTAATTAAGAAAATGTTGTTCTTAATCACGCTATTAAATAAAAAAAAATTAAAAAACGTGATTTCTAACCACGCTTTTAAAAAAAAAAAAAAAACGTAATTTCTAACCACGCTTTTAAACAAAATTGTTTTATAAAAGAACCCACACACACACTCACTCACAGCCCACCACACTCACAACCACGCACTCACTCACAGCCACACCACACACTCTCTCTCCCTCCGTGACACATCACTCCACAACAACTCATATCAAATAAAATATAATAAATTAAAAAATTAAGTAATATAAATAAATAAGTAATATTTAAAAATAATAATTTTAAGAATTAAACCCTAATCTTAAATAAAATAAAAATAAAAAATTTATCCCTAAACAGTAAAGTAACGTTTGATAACATTTACGTTTTTAGTTTATGTTTACAAAATAATTGAAAAAAATTTAATTGAAAACAATTTAATTGAAAAATAATAATAATATTTGGAAAAAAATATATTTTCAAAATAATTTTTTTTCAATTATTTGAATTTTTTTTTTCAATTACATTATTTGAAAAAAAATTATTTTTGAAATAAATTATTTGAAATATATTTTTTTTCAAATATTATTTTTTGTTCAAATAATTTTTTTTTTCAATTATTTTTTTAATTCATTCTTTTTTCAAATTTTTTTTTCAATTAAAATTTGGCCTAATTTCAAATAATAATTTTTTTTTCAAATAATTTAATTGAAAAAAATATATTTCAAATAATTGAAAAAAAAATTATTTGAAAAAAAATTTATTTGAAATATATTTTTTTTTCAAATATTATTTTTTTTCAATTAAATTTTTTTCAATTATTTTTTTTAATTAGTTTTTTTTCAATTATAATATGTGTGATATTATTGTCATAAATAATAAATATAAATATAAATATTTTAAGTTTGAATAAACATATTTTTTAGTTTATGTTTTTAAATTTTTTAAAATATTTTGTTCAAACTAAACGCATTTGTAATTTATGTTTTTCTAAAAATAAACAAAAATCAGTTTATAAAATCTTTGTAAACATAAACTAAAAACGTAAACGTTATCAAAAGTTACTTTACTGTTTAGGGATAAAATTTATTTTTTTTATTTTAAGATTTAAGGTTTAATTCTTAAAATTTATTTATTTTTAAACATTATTTGTTTATTTATATTTATTTAATTCTTAAAATTTATTTATATTTATTTTGATGTGAGTTGTGTGTGAGTGTGAGTTGTATGTGAGTGATGTGTCAGAGAGATGGAGAGAGAGTGTGTGGTGTGGCTTTGAGTGAGTGCGTGGGTTGTGAGTGTTGAAAGCATGTTTTCTAACTACTCTTTTTTTACAATACAGTTTTATTTAAAAGTGTGGTTAGAAATCACGGTTTTTTTTAAAAAAATTTCTTTAAAAGTGTGATTAAAAACAATACTTTCTTAATTAAAAGCGTGATTTATAACCACGCTTTTATGATTTCGCCATTTTCACAAGACAAATGTTGAAAGCGTGATTCTAAATCACGTTTTAATTTATTTTGGAAATTCTCTTAAAGCTAAGCTTAATTTAGGAATTGAATTGATAATTTAGCTTAGTTAGGAAAACGACCCAAGAATCAATCCGCGAATCCAAAAGCGAATTGGGCTTGGGCAGGCTAGGGTTTTAGGGTTTTTCCTCATCCCTTCTCCGCTGGCTACAATTGGTGAGTGATTGAAGGCTCTCCAAACTCTACACTGAAGTCTCTCCCGCGAAATCGATCTTCTCCTTCGGCGTCGTCTGCAACTCCCTCCATCTGACCTCTTCCCCAAGGTATGGATCCTTCTATCTCTGCGAAAGCCCCTTCCCAAACCCATCTTCGAACCTCCATCCATGGTTGTTCGTCTATTATCTGCATGTTATTTTCTTTGTTTTTCACATGTATGTATCTGAGATTGGTAGTCTTGTATGCTGCTGCTACAGTTGCTTAGATTCATGTATGTGAAAATATCGCTGATTTTAATTGGTTGAAATTTTTTTTTTTTTCTACATTCAATTATCTTAAGACGCCAATTTGATGGGTTTTGGGAAAGATCAAATTGGGTTTGTTTTCATTTTATCTAGTTCTTTGATTTGCAGGTTATGTTTACGTGTTTTAATTGGGTTTTGAGTAAAATTTCTGTGAAATTTTGAGGTGGTGTTACCCTAGTTCCTTCAATATAGATGATGTTTAGTTTGGTGGGGAGTGTGTAATAGATAGTTCGACAATTGTTATGTCTAGTTGAAGAGGCTGTCCTAATTGGTGTGTTTTACTTTCAATGATCAATGTTAGTTTTTGATGTGTCCGTGATAACCATGGAGAATATAGCCAGTCCTATGCAAATCTCAGCATAGTTTTTTGGCCTCCAAATCAGAGAGAGCAATGCCCTAGTAGGGAAGGTTGGACAACACATTGAACTAGGGGTGAGCACCGGATGTACCGATCTACCAAAACCGACCGAACCGAACCGATCCGCCGCATTTTGGACAGATGCGTGATGACGAGTGGATGGTTGTAGATTGATTTTCTCCAATCCGTCAATCTGCCGGACGGATGGCGGATTTGAGATTCCTTTGGCCACAACCGAATCGCCAAACCGCGAGCACCCCTAGTAATTTATAAGACTTTGTGTTTTTAGTTTGTTTAAATATTTTGTTTGTGTTTTCAATTAGAAAAGAGTTTAAATATTCTGTTGAAAAAAAGTTTACTTGAATATTTTTTTTGAATTGAAAAAAATAAATGTGTTATTTATCTATATTTTTTAGTTTTTAAATCTATCTCTAAAAATAATAAATAGAAAATATGATATATGCTGGTTGGTTTTTGTTTTCAAAAACAGATATAGATGTAACAATACAGAGACATACAATCTCTACTACTGCTATGTTTATGGTTTTGGTGGTTTGAATTGTTTTTTATATTTTAGGAACCACAGATTGTAATACTTTATGTGGATGAGGCATGCGGTGATTATGATATTCTAAAGTTTCAAACTTTCTTACTTTTGATGAGGCATGCAATGATTGTAAATACAGTGATTGTAATACTTTTTAAGTCATTGACTGTAATACTTTTGTTTTTTTTTTTTGAGGAAGTGCAAAAGTTGAATTATGTTGAAAATTTATAAAATTTTAAACCGCCAAACCGATTCGCATCCATCCACCAATCCGCTCAATCCACATCCGCCGGATTGGCGGACGGATGCGGATTGATTTTCTCCAATCTGCCAATCTGGCGGACGGATGGCGGATTGAAGGTTCCGTGGCCGCAACCGACCCGCGCAGCCAGCACACAAATGTGCAGCCCCAATATGGTTTAAGCATTGACCTGTTCTTGATATTCTTGATAATCACTTCAGCATTCGACTCAATAATTACTTGTCAAAAATTCCATTCGAGGACAGAATGAAAACTGCAATCCTTGATGATTGGAATAGCAAATATGGAGATCATTAAAATGCAGGGAAACAATACGGACAATGCTTCACTCTCCCTCCCTCTATATCTACAAAATAGGTTTCTCTCTATAAAAATTGTATGCTCCATTTAATTTTTTTTTTTTCCCCCATGCTTAATAAGATCTCTTTCAACATAGATAGCTAAATATATGAGGAACAAATTACAGAGAGACACAATAGCTAATCAATTGTTAAAATAAATTTTTTTTAAAAAAAATTGGGTAAATTGTTATGAAAATACAAACCTCAGGGGGCGGGATGTAATTTCCGAAACCTCAGGGGGTATCTGTAATTTAGCCAAACCTCGAGAGGTGTATATGTAATTTGCCCTTCATAATTTGCATAAAAAGAAATGTCAAACAGGTAAAGGAAGAAACCAAAAATAGAAAGAAATTAAGGGAACAAAAGGAAATTTTTGGAATTCAGAAGATCAAACATAACTATTTATAGATTTTTTTAAATTGAGAGTCAAATCAGATTCCAAGCATATCTTGGAAGCAGCCTAGAGAGAGAGAGAGAGATAGATGAAAAGGGTACCAGCAATTCCAGCTGCATTAGTGAAAGCTGAGTAAGTGGAGAGTAGCACAGTTGGGAGTCATTGATCTCTATCTGTTCAAACTTCATTCATCACCCAAACAAATCTCTCTTCTCTGCTCTCTCTCTCAATTTTGAATATGGAACATTGCTGTTAGGCTTTGAGATATATATATATATAATTTATTATAATAGAATGGAACAAATTAATGGTGTAAAGCCAAAAGATAATAATTAATGGTATAGATTTCTTTTTAGCTTAGCTAGTCCATTGGAGTTTTTCATGGAGTACATGGCCAACATTTTAACAAGAGTCCCATTTTTATTTTTTTGTATACTTTAGCATATTTATTTTTTAACTTAGTACATAGATGGTCTTATGAAGTTTGAGGTCTCAATTTTTAATGTACAAGCTTGATATTTATTTCAGCCTGTGCTCCCACAGAAGTTGTGGAAGCAAAGGCTGGAAAGGGTTCAGCAACACTCTCAATGGTGTAAGTTTGGGTTGATATTTACATGTTTGTTTTATGGGTTCTTAGATACACAGGAATCTGTATGATTGGTGTTATGACTTCAAGTTGATATTTTGATGAATGGATTGGACAGTGTGATGGGATTTTGATGACCTTTGCCCAGATTTTAAATATTTTGATTAGAGCTTGTGAATAATCTACAGTGGATGATTGGAAGGTTAAACACTAGTTTTATGCTCCTGAATACATTTTCATTTTACTTGCTTATGTTTGAGATTTTAAGAGACATTGAATTAGCAGTCATTCATCATGAATTTTGGTGAATTGTGGCTAGCTTTGAGGTATATGGTCAACTAAATTGTGTCACGGGATACTACTTGCAGACTAGTTTGAATAGCTGAAAAACATGCTTCTCTTTTCTGAATTGTCATAAATTGCTGAAATCTTTCATGAAAGCTCACTCTGGTTTAATTTTTAATTTTTAATTTTTAATTTATAATCTACAGTGGATGATTGGAAGGTTAAACACTAGTTTTATGCTCCTGAATACATTTTCATTTTACTTGCTTATGTTTGAGATTTTAAGAGACATTGAATTAGCAGTCATTCATCATGAATTTTGGTGAATTGTGGCTAGCTTTGAGGTATATGGTCAACTAAATTGTGTCACGGGATACTACTTGCAGACTAGTTTGAATAGCTGAAAAGCATGCTTCTCTTTTCTGAATTGTCATAAATTGCTGAAATCTTTCATGAAAGCTCACTCTGGTTTAATTTTTAATTTTTAATTTTTATCTCTTGAATTTTTTACACTTCCTGTGTTGATGTTTGGTTGCTGCATTTATGAAGTGACACTAATCCATGAAGTATGTTATTCATTTAGTTCTGTTGTTTTTCCCCTTGTGAATTGGTATTGCTCTTGTTAAATATCATTAGAGAGTTGGTTGCAACTGTCATTGAAACCCTTAAAGTTATTATGAAGGCATATATAATATTGCATAATAATAATATGATTGTTGAGGATGAGCGAAATGAACAAAATATAGACTGTAATTATGATGCAATCGATGAAAGTCTCCCTTCAGCAGTGTCGCATGAGTGCACACCCAAACTTTATGAATTCATTCAAAATCATCATCGTATCAGAGATAGACAAACTTATTCTAAACTCCAAGCCGACCTAGTTGAGCATTTGTGGCATCAACATGGAGATTTGTAACAACTTGAATTAGAAATAGTTTATTTATTTTGAAATTTATTCTTAACTTTGCTATTTATGTTTTTTTTTTTTTTCTTATTTTATTCATTGACCTTTGTAAGGTTTTTGATTAGTTAATTTGTGTTCTTTCGGTTCTTAATTTGATAAATTACAATGATTGAAGAACTTCCTTTGTATTGTTATTTTTAAAAAATTTCTTTATTGTTTTCTTTTATTTTTCCCCTCCCTTCCCCTTCTAGATGGTTCCACAAAATTTATATGTTATTATACATTTTATAAAAAAAAAAAATTAAATATTAGTTAAAAATTAATTTTTATAATATTTTTAAAAATATTATCGCAAATGTCACATTGACAACCATATTAGCATTTGGTGCGTATGTGGCATTTTATGAAAAATACAATATATATATAGCATTTTTTATTTTGAAAATTGGTTAAGTTAGTTTGAATGACTAGTTAAAATAAAGAGTATGGTTGAAACACACAATAGCTAAACTAATTAGGTAAAATAAAAAGTGTACTTTTTTTATACTTTAGCTAGTGAAAAATAAAGAGTGTGGTTGGAGTTGCTCTAACAACAGCTATCGTCTTGCTCGTCATCGAGATTTAGGGCTTAGCAATCATCGTCTCTCTCATATCTATGTTCATTGAAATCTAGGGTTTGTATCGAAGGATTGACGTTTGTTCTGTAGAGTAAAGGTACGTATATATGTATAAATATATAGATCTATTTTGTTGTTGATTGCTGTGTTTTTTATTGTGTGATGTGTGGTTGTGAATGAAGAGTAAAGAAACATGGCTGATGAGGAACCGAAGCAGCTGAATTATATACCTGAAGTGATATTGAAGAAGAGGAAAAACAATGAAGATTGGGCTATTCGAAGGAAGCAACAGTTGGAGCAGAGGATTAAGAAAAGCAAGGGTGATAATTTCGTTATCAAGAAGCCTGAGCAATTCATTAGGGAGTTCCGAGACAAAGTAATCACTTCAATTTTGCTTCTTTGTAGTAGTTTGTTTTTATTATAGTATCTATGAATTTCGATGATTGTATGAGTTTATTGATTGATTGATTTCTTTAATTGCTTGAATTATCATTGTTTGTGTTTGAAAATGTGAAAATTTTGGATGGTGGAGATTGATTTGGTCTAGCACATAGCATGTTGAACTTTGATTATCAATTTTAATGGGATTTCAAGGCATTAGGTGTAGGTGTAGGTGTTCTGGTGTTAAATTTGTCAAATTCGATTTATTTATTTTTTTTTATTTTTTATTTTATTTTAATTTCTAGGAAGATATACATAGGTACATCATTAAAAAACCCTCTCTTTTTTTTCTTCATTTTTTTTAATGAGTTTTGTGCCCTCGGAGTAGGATGTAATGAACTATCTATTAACTTTGAGGGTTGTCCTGAGTGGTTGGTGGGTGTGTTGCTTTCCACACAATTACTCAGGGTTCAATTCTTGGAGTGAGGATGTGAGAAAGTAATTCCTTGTGAATTCCTTAGTCCCAGCATGAAGCTTTGACCGGACCAAGGAGAGGATTAGTCGAGGTTCACGTAAGTTGGCCCAGACACCCTTGACCACTGAACCAAAAATAAAAAATAAAATGAACTGTCTATGTAATACATTGAGCTTGATGTAGGTATTGTGTGAAAGGTTGGCATCTACTAGACGTAGAGGAACAAATTATAAGTATTCTCTTATACGTATTGTGAACATATTGTGTGATCCATACATACTTATATGTCCTGTTCTAAATAACACATCTAATAACTTCTTTTGTTTATATTATTGATCATACCATCCAGTTTATAGGCATTACATAGGGTCTTTTTCACAATTAACAATTGATTATGAAGAGTGATAGTTGAACTTCTAAAACTGTTCAAGTGGCATGTTGAGAAGATTGTAGGCTGTACTTATTTACAAATTTGTTAATTCATGACTCACTTTGTAGATTATTTTTACAAGAAATACGTATTCCGTAATAAGATGGTGCTTCATTTTATGATGCACACACCTTTTCTATTTCTTAAGGCGCCTGTCTTGTTAAACGAAGGTCAATTGGAAATCTGATACCAAGTGTGTTTTTTTCTACATCACTAGTCTTTTTATGTTCCAATTCAGCCCCTGATAAAACCATATCTCACCCAGGAATTGGACCTCATCCAAATGAAGCATAGGACAAAGCGGCAAAGACGAGCACTTGTAACACCAGAATCCAAGTTGCTTTTCATCATCCGCATACGGGGGTAAATTTATTGTTGTAATGGTTGCAATATTTTCCCGAGTTTTCTGCTATTTGTTACTTTTAATTCTGATATCCACTAATTCTTTTCAGGAAAAATGACATGCATCCCAAGACTAGGAAGGTTTTATACTCTCTAAGATTGAGGAAGATATTCAATGGTGTCTTTGTGAAGGCAAATGAAAGGATTATGGAAATTTTGCAAATGGTGGAGCCTTTCATTACATATGGGTATGACAAACAAATCTTTATTGCTATTATTTGCTACAATAACATGTGATAAGGGATTGCTCTCATGCTTATTTATGTTTTGCTCGTGAATTAATCATCCTATAAATCTACCTGTGGAGATAATGGAATGATTCATATTGGTTGTTTCTACGACTTTTATCTTTTTTGTATCCACTATTTGCTTGTATTGCATATCCTTGCTTGTGATATGATGGAATATATAGTTCTGCTTAGTATAAGGCTTCCCCCAATCCTGATATACACCCTTGATTGGTTCTCGAACAAACTGAATGAACAACTTTCTTGGGTAGAGCATCAGATGCTTTTCCCAGCGTGATGATGCAAGGTTGTTCAAAATTAATAAATTTCAATGAAGTCATTATACTTGGTTTGAATTCATGGTTCTTCTTGAGGCTTACATGGGTGCCTTTATGCTCTTTGTGCTACGCTACCCCCTTTGGATTACCTAATTTATTTTTATCTTCTCTTTTCTTTTTTGTGTAATGAGCAAAGGCAATCTGATTTTTCATCTAAAACTCAGCTTGATTTAACTTGGTTTGAATTGAAGCCAAGACCTTATCTTCATGTGTGCGCGCTTGCAACCATGCTGTTGGGTGTGTAGTAGATTTCGTCAAGTTGGAACCTGTTCATGAGCATATGCTATAAATTTAATGAAATAACTACTAAACAGGTAAAACTAGATAAGTAGATATGCTTCATGGAAAATTGATGCAACATTTGAGGACTCCTATCTCAAAATTATTCTTCTCTAGCTTCTTCAATTGGGAAAAAAAAAATTTAAAATTTTTTTGTGAAATCTATTGCCATAATTAGTAAGTATGGAAATATGTAACAATTTTATTGCTTTCTTAACATTTTAAATATTTTAATTTTTAGGTATATAATTTGTTGAAGTGTTGTGTTTCTACTTCCTACAACAGTTCACAAGCTTGGTCAGTTTGATCGCTGTCTAGTCTTAAGCTGACTACTGTTTCTGCTCGTGAGTGTATTCAACATGAGTTGATTGTTTGGGCATGTTAACAAGCTTGAATGAGCTATATGAATGGTCCATGTGCAGAGCGCGCTTCTATTCATCATGCTTATAAACTAATTTCATTTTTTTTTCCGATTTCATTCTCTTATCCTGATATTATAACAAAGGAAATAAAAATAAATAAAAATTAAAAATTAAAGTTTTCTTTTTGTTCCTTGCGTCTATATTTCAATTGAGTAAATACTGCTACCAGGAAAAGTAGAAAAGCATTGATGTTCATCTACAATGCAGAAGTCGTAATGTTATTGATGACACAAGTCTTATTTTCTTGAATGATTTGATATTAGATGAATGGTGGTAGGCAACAATTAGTTCTGTACCAAACATATTGCTATCATTGATTCCCGTATTGGTTTAACAGATTTATAGTTGTGGAATCAACTTATAAGAAAATAACAATAAGCAGCAAAATAAAATAAAATATAAAAGATTTATAGTTGGGAGGAAACCCCCTAAAAAGTTGTTATTTGAATGCCATCATCTCTAGACCTTGCATTAATGCATTCAACTCAGAAAAAATTAGCTAGCTGAGTGTTAGTTACTGCACATCTTTGTGTTTTCATATTTTCCCCATTAAATGATGCCAGTGTTTTTAATAAGAATTTTTATTTTTTATTTTTTGAAGATGCCCCAATCTGAAGAGTGTGAAGGATCTGATTTACAAGAAAGGCCTGGCTCAAATTAGCAAGCAGAGAGTTCCATTGACAGACAATAACATCATTGAGCAGGTAATCAAAATGTGTCACTAAATTGTGTTGTATGGTTTGCTTGTCTCACTTGTTGGCAAGTTGTCTGATGTTCTAATATTAGCATTATTATTATTTTCATTGCTTGGCAGGAACTGGGGAAGCATGGCATTCTGTGCATAGAAGATATTGTAAATGAGATTGCAACTGTTGGTCCACATTTTAAAGAGGTTTCTAGTTTTCTATGCCCTTTTACTCTCAACAGGCCTGAAAAGGCATTGCAGGGTAAGAAAAAGCTTTACGAGAATGGAGGAGACTCTGGAGATCGCAAAGACAACATCAATGAACTAATCAGTAAAATGATCTAGCATTTAAGCAAATCGGACCTACTTAAGTGATCAAATTATGTTGACTGTAGTTCATGTATTTGAGATTGAACCTCAAATGGGTACTAGCATTAAATTCCTATTTTTTCTTTTTCGTATTCTTTTTGATATCATCTGACAGTTGTGGATGTCTTGGAATAGTGTAACCATTGTAGTGCCTTATCTGAGGGACTTGATGGATCTTGGTGAATTGATTATCTGTGGGTGTTTTAAGATAGCTTAGCATTGGATTTCTTACTCTCTTTTTCTTTTTCTTTTTCTTTTTCTTTTTTTTAATTATTTTTTACATATATAAGTAGAATGGAGATAAATTTAGGTCTTGTTTATTAATTATACATTTTAGTCAAAAAGTCATCATAAGTTGTCACATCATTCTCTTTATTTTTTTGTAAATTTTTTTTTTATTTTTATAAAAAGCTAAAAGGTTACTAAAATATCTTATTTCCAAACATGGTCTTAGAGTAAGAGTAGCAAATTCACATCAATTAGAGGTTGGGGTAGGCGCGGGCCGGTAGCGGCTACGGAACTTTCAATCTGATATCCGTCCGTCAGATTGGTGGATTAGAGAAAATCAATCTGTATGTCAATCCGACGGATGTGGATTGAGCGAATTGGCGGATGGATGCGAATCGGTTTGACGGTTTAAAATTTTATAAATTTTTAACATGATTCAACTTGTGCACTTCATTAAAAAAAAAAAAAAAAAAAAAAAAAAAAAAAAAAAAAAATATTACAGTCAATAACTTAAAAAAATAGTACAATCATGGCATGTCTCATCCAAAGAAAGAGAATTTGAAATTTTAGAATAGGGCAAATTACACAAATAGTCCTTATAGTTTGGGGTTTGTGTCACTTTGGTCCTTGACTTTTCAATTGTAACACATTTGACCATGAATTTTGAATCTTGTTCAAAATAAAGACTATTGAATATATAATTAGATTTTTCAATGGTAAAATTGTCAATTTGATAAAATATAAATTAATTTGACAAAAATAAATGCAAACAAATATTTTTGAATTTTTAAAAATTATTTTTACCTACTAAAAATAAAATTATGTAAAATTAATAAATCTTTTAGACATTTATTTTGTTTTTACCAAATTAATTTTTATTATGTGTTTGGATGATGATCATGTAAAATTAATTTAAAAAAATTAATCATTTTATTAATTTTACATAATTTTATCATTGGTGGATAAAAATAATTTTAAAAAAATTAAAAATATTTTTTTGATATTTATTTTTGTCAAATTAGTTTATATTTTATCAAATTAACGATTTTACCCTTGAAAAATCTAATGATATTTTCAATTGTCCTTATTTGGAACAAAATTCAAAATTCATGGTCAAATGTGTCACAATTGAAAAGTCAGGGACCAAAGTGACACAAGTCTCAAACTATAGGGACTATTAGTGTAATTAACCCTTTAGAATATTACAATCACTGAATGTCTCATCTACATAAAGTGTTACAATATGTGATTTTTAAAATATAAAAACAATTTAAACCTCCAAACCATGAATAGAACAGTACTAGAGGTTGTATGTATCTGTATTGTTACATCTATATTTATTTTTTAAAACAAAAACCAACCAGCATATATCATTTTTTTTATTTATTATTTTTAGAGTTAGATTTAAAAACCAAAAAATATAAATAAATAATACATTTTTTTTTTCAATTCAAAAAATATATTCAAGTTGAAAACTTTTTTTCAATAGAATATTTAAACTTTTTTTTTTCAATTGAAAACACAAATAGAATATCTAAACGAATTGAAAACACAAAATCTTACAAATTAATAGGGGTGCTCGAGGTTTGACAGTTCAGTTGCGGCCAAAGGAATCTCAAATTCGTCATCCGTCCAAAATGTAGTGAATCGATTCAGTTTGTTGATTTAGGCGGATCAGTATTGTATGAGAGGGTTCAAGAACGTCGTTGGAATATTCGAAGATCTTTGAAGAAGACTCGAATTCCTTTAGAAATGGTGAGAGACTTAGATTCTTCAATAGTTTCAACTAAAAACACAAAAGAAAGGAGATGATGGAGATAAAAGATTGGGTGAAGAAGAAGGCAAAGTAGCTAGAGAGAGAATAATGACAAGGCTTTCCTATGGATCTCCCACTTTCACTCTCAAGGTTGATAATGGAGAAGAGAAATTAGTTCTTTCCCAAGAGTTTTCTCTTCAAAATCCATCTCTTGTAAAGTTATGGGTGGGTGTTATTTATAGGCATCTCATGATGTAGGATGGAGCCCATGTGCGAGGCACATGGGGAATATTCTCTCTAACCACTTTGTCCAATGAGGTGACCTCTTCGAGGATGGGGAAAACCCCGAAGAGGAGATCAACCTTTCGGTGAACCCTTCTTCTTAGCCACACCTAACCAATGATCCCCAATCATTCCAAAGGGTCAGGGGTAGTCTTAGAGGACGTCCTGCCGCAGAAGGGTCAGGAGTAGTTCAAGAGAACGCCCTGTCGCAAATATTACCGAGTCTCAGAGACCCCCTAGATCGTGCCACCTCGACCCAAGTATAGGCTAGTTTAATCGAAGAGCGAATTTATCTCCACTCACCGTCCTCGGGATCGGGTCCTTTGTTCGGACTCCATTACGCTTATGGTTCTGGTACGTAGATCCCAGAAACCTCCGAGTCCGCAAGTGTTTTGGGACTCATTAATGGAGCGGCTTCTAGATTGCGTCTGAATCCGTTCGAAGCCAAGTGCTTCGGATCTTTAGGTTCGTGGATTCGAACCCTTTCAAGTCCGAGCCCGAGTAAGTCTCTAAGTTCGTGGATCCGAACCCTTTCGAGGTTTAGAGCAATTCGGCCGGTTTGATGGCTATAAATCCGGGCCCACCAATCTTGGACTTGCGATAAACTCGAGCCCACCAACCTTGGACTATTGGGCCTTATTAATTTAGTGGGCTCAAATTGACTCCTCTTACAAGTATATCAACTGCTTACTTCTAATTAGAGGATCATCTGTTACAACACAAAAGCGAGGGAGGGGGGGAATGTTAGGGACAAAAAAGATTGGGGAACACAGTAATAGAGAAGACTAATACTATATGTACCAATTAGTACACTAACTAGTATACCAATTGATGATGTGATATAATTTAAGATATTTTTGATATTTATAATTTGTATAATGAGTAAGGTCAATAATAATATTATAATTAATATTAATATACTAATTGGTACATGTAATCTCACTTAATAGAGAAAGGTGATAAACATCATCATTCAAATCAAATGGTTTCATTGTGATTAATGCTCTTCGTTTAGCTGAGATTTTTAAGTTTGTTTATTAATTTAAGGTCATGTTTGATTCATAAGACTAATAGTAAAGTATTAATAATCCTATTAAATTAGTGTGGTATTCACTATCCAATTGGATTATTATCTATTGGATTAATAATCCCACCCCTACCCTATTACTAATAATCCTATAAATTTGTTGGATTAATTATCCATTGGATTAATAATCCTAAACCAAATTGTTAAAACAAATATAGGATAATTGGGCCCATGTATTAATAATCTCAATCCTATGCTTCAATCCACCCAATCAAACATGCCCTAAAAGAACTATTTTTTTTAAATAAAGTTAAAATTCATTTGATAAGCTTAATTTCCTGTCAAAAAGTTCACTTTAATTAGGCTTCGTTTGGTTATGTATTTGTAGTTAAAAAAAATTAGTATAAATTGTCATCATTTTGTGCATATAATTTTTGTAAAAAATTAATTAAAATAGTTAATTTTCAAACGAAAATTTACTATGAAAAATTATTAGGAAAGAAAAGGACAAAAGAAAGAGTAAAGAATATATCAAATTATAAAAAAAAAATTAATAATAATCTATACTATTATTAAGTGAATACTTCAATTAGTATAGTAAAGTTTTACTTTCATCATGCCATGTGATAATATTTTTTAAATTTTTTTTTTTAAAAAGTTTAACAAAGAGATGGACAAAACTTAAATCCATGACCATGAATTTAGGCCCTGTTTGATTCTAGGATACAAAAGGCGGGATTGAATATTATATATTGTGGGATCCGTATATCTCATGTTTGCAATTTTTTTTTTAAAGAGGATATAATATACTATGAGATTGTATATTCCAAAAAATTGGAGGATTTACAATACCACCATCCCCCATTATATCATATCCTATAGGTTGGGATATGATTTAAAAAGTCCAATTTACCCTCTTGCCTATCTAATATAATATAATTAATTTTTGAATTTAATATAATGTTATGACTTAGATTCTTCAATAGTTGAATTGAATAATTATTGAATTGAATTTAATATTATTGAATTTAATATAATATAATATAATTTAACATAAATTTTGAATTTAATATAATATAATATTATTGAATTTAATTTAATATAATTTAATATAAATTTGGAATATAATATAATATAATATAATATAATTTTTGAATTTCATATAATATAATTCTTTTATCATTATCAGGTTGACATTAATATAATATAATTTATTTTTTTCTAGAAAAAATTATTGAATTTAATATAAATCTTTAATTTATTCCAATAAAAAATAACATGAATTTTTAATTTGTTTATTTGCATTAGTTCCAATATGGGTATTTAAAAGATATTATGAGCGAAAGCTTGAAAATTACTTGTTTATATCCCACAATATATTTTATAAAACAAACATGGATAATACATATCCAGTCTTATATATCAAGTCAACAAACATGAATTAGGAGATATATTATCCAATACATATATCATATTCATTATATATCCTAACTAAATCCCATATCATATTATATCTCTCATTTTGTATACAGTGAAACAAACAGGGCCTTAAGGTAAGACGATGTAGTAACCCGAAAATTAAATTATTCTTTAACTTTCATATTAGTATTATTTAATTATAAATTAAGCTTAAAAAAATAAAGAAAATAGATATAGATCAAGATGCTTATCCTTGCGGAAAACCATACAACAAGAAAGAGTCATGTGGTGGATACATGTGGTTCGTTGGGGAGGGACGTAGTGGCTTGGAGAAGAAGAAAGACACCTATATAAGGGTGTCTCGGGTGAGAAATGAGGGGCAAAGAAAAAGTAGTCAGTTAGTAAAGGAGGATGTTTCGGTACGATATTAATATAATTGTGAGTTATATTATACATTGATTTACCATTATATGTTTTACGCATGTTTTGAATTATTATAGTTTATTTTATGTAAATTGT